GAGAGAGAGAGAGAGAGAGAGAGAGAGAGAGAGAGAGAGAGAGATCTTGTGTGCGATTCAGAACTGCAGTGAGTAGTACAAAATTGGCAACCTGTTGGCGAATTCGTTGACAACATTGTGTGCAATGCCATTCAGAAATTTGTATCTGAGTTTGTCTGCAAGACTGCAAACATGTCAGCAGCCGACATGTTTGCAGACAAGAGTCCGAACGTCCCTGAAAACACCTCCCCCGACACCCATTGCACCCAACCCCTGTCCCAACAACACTTCCATAAAACACCTCTGTCCCTTCATCGTCTCAAAACCCAAACACCAGGAAACATTGTTTTCAGAGCTGTTCGAATGTGTTCAGGGCTTCGGCAGGAGGCAGGACGGTGCCAACAACAGTTTCTCACAAAACTCAGGCACTAAGCCGCCACCAACGGTGCCAGTGGTCTGCCGATGGTCAGCTGCACATCTGTTGACGGTCATCTTCGGCTGTCGGGTTGCCATGCAATCCTGGTGTAGGAGCTGAACGATGGTCCATAATGCCATAGTAATTTTGCGAAGCAATGCCCACTGTACCTACACTCATCCATGGTAAGGAGAGCACTCCGAAACAGTTTTCCCACAAGGTGCATCCAGAGGAAAACAGCTTGGCAAAGGCGTTCAGTTGACCCGCGTAAGACTCGCGTCAGAGTTAGCTCTAATGAAAATTGATCCATACTGCCATAGTAATGTCAAGCAATTCTCATTCTACACCCTCTGATAGAAGAGAAGACACTCAGCACCGCCTTTCCAAAGGCACATGCAGAGACAAACAATTTGGCATAGGCATTCAGACGACCCACGTAAGACGTGCACCAATGGTGTATTTAAAGGCTCTGACCTTCCCAAATATTTCCAGGAGTGCATCTGCAACACCATGTTCCTCAATGCGGATTGAAGCCAGCAAGAGACGTCCAACCTGCATTCATATTCAGAGGTGCCAAGTCAAACAAACTGAAGAAACTAGCTTCAGATTCCCCACGAGCAGAGTGGGGATAGACTCACAGCATTGCAAGCATATTCCGGCTTTCCTCAATCAGTCTATCCTCAATGCAAAACCGTTTCAGCCCTCCTTATTAAACCATCCTCAGCTCCCGAGAAGTGCATTGAGATTTAATGCTAGTGAGTACGAACTGACACACATTAGCATTCACAAGAAGAGCCAGTGAGAAAGGGATATTGATGTAATTGAAATCAGTGTACAAGACCTCCAGTAGCGTCTGAATACCGGAACTGAAAAACGGAGGGCATGTAGGCGGGTAAAAAATACAACAATGAAATCTTTAAGTACAAACCCGAGTCCAGATGCAATCAAAATAATTCTGAATTTGTGGGCCGATCAGCTCAGTGATCGTATCTCAAGACCATTGCCCTTTCTTCCTGTACTCTCTTTAAGCGAATGCCGGGTCTCGCGTGACATTCCCACGTGACACCCACCTTCTGGTGTTAGGAAACAGCGGGGACAAACAGGCGGGCCCATGGAAATTAAACACACATTGGAAGGCGGGCAAGAGAGAGAGAGAGAGAGAGAGAGAGAGAGAGAGAGAGAGAGAGAGAGAGAGAGAGAGAGAGAGAGAGAGAGAGAGAGAGAGAG